ATGCGTAATTATAAATTACAAATTAATTATAGAATGATATATGTTAATATGTAATTTTGTAATTATAAATTATACAGATTATGAATATGTAAATCTATAATCACATATTACGAATTATTAGAGAAACAGTAATTATTTATGAATCGAGTTAAATAAACCGTTGTCACACGAATACTGAAATTTTTAAACTGAAAAGTCAGATCTTTATTATATTGAGATTTCGAAAATAAATATGTTAATTCTACATTTTTCATTACGAATGTCTTATGTTATGCACTGAAGTATTATTTAAGTGTATCATATTTCAGATTCTTTAAATCTCCCGTCATCATTCGAAGTTTTTCTATTCTCTTTTGTGAGTGATATCGCTTAAATTCCTTTGCACAAACTTCTCTCTCTTCTGTCCTGCTTTCAATTTCTATCTTCTTCATTCTCACTTGTGCGGTTCACTTCCAGAGTAAACATTTGTACAACTTTCACCTCGCTTCACATTTGCTCGCATCTTGCAGTGAATAGTTCAAAGTAAACGCACATAATTGTTTACTTGCATCCTTTTGCCAAGAATTTAAGGTCTTCCGCTCGTCAATTTTCCTAATTAGTGCTAATTATTCGAGTGCATGCGTGCGGAAAATTCCGAGCGAGATCAATTTTATACGCATAAGTTTATTCATGGAATCTATAACATATTAAAACTATATAAAATCATATAATTGTGTAAAATTATCGGTGTTATAAACAAATAAATTAAAACTAATTTTTTTAATTAAATAATAGGGAAAGCCCGAGCAAAGCAAATGTGTTAAGATTTGAGAAGAAAAATGACACAGTTAAAGTTAAGATCGAAAACCTTTTTTATTCTTATAATTTTATTAATGAAATCAACTTTGAAATAAAATAAAATAAAATTTAAAAACTTGAATATTTAAATGTCTTTTAGTCAAAACGTAAAAAAAAGAGAAATCAATCGCTTTGCCCCTTGGGGTCACTCGAGCAATGAGGATAAAATTTAAAAAAATCAAAATCAGTGTCGGCAGTCATCACAAAAATAGCTGCCAAATCCTTTATATGTAGTGCAGCCTTCATGAATCCATTGGCGTACTGACTGTACTGGATTCAGTCTTTGGTGGATTGATGTATTCTTCAGAACACACATCATACTGCGTTGTGGAAAAAAAGTGAGATGTAAACAATGCTATTCGTTCGCTCAAAAGATCTCGTCTGTTTCCTCCGTCTTCTCAGTATTTTCAGTGCAATCACATACTGGGTAAAGAGGATGGGCCATTCGTTTTGCCCAAAGAAACTTGGCGTGAATTTGGAAAGGTTAAAATAAGTTTAAGCAACAAGTGAAAAATTTTAACCTCGAATACACCTTTAAAGACAGAGAATTCTTATAAAAAATCATTCACACTGATTAAGAAACAATTACTGCTAATAATTAAGCTACGTTTAGCAAGAATCGCAAGAAAACACACAATTTCTTTTATTTCTCTGTCAAACACGAACAAGCGCAATCATATTTGTTTTGTACTTTCAATCATTCTTTCAATAGTTAGAGATTCATAATATTATCTCAGATAGGTAAGCAAAAATAAAACATATTCGCTTTGCCCAGAATGTTCGCCCGGACTTCCTCCATATTTTTTTAGTTTTACTAAAAAAGTCAAAGTTCACTTGATCTTTCGCTAAGCTAAATTTTTAATAACCAAATCTATATATTATGAGCTGTTTATGTATTGTTATTAGCTATTTTCGGAGAGCTTGGATATTCTATTGTATGAGCTATAGTAATGATTTATTGAAATGGCATAACCACAAAGCGCAAGACAGAATCAAATACATCGAGAATTCGGTTTAATCGAAAACCTCAAAATGATGCGATTTAATTCTAGCTGAATCAAAATACACCTGTCCTTTCTGATTATTTGAATATTCGGATCTTAGAAGAGATTCACACGATAATATTTTGATTATTCATTAAATTTTCTAATGTTGCTAAAGTAGTTTAATAAAATCATTTAGAATATAAAATGGCTCAAAGCGATATGATATTTATGAATTATTTTTTGCTACTTGCCGAATTTTGAAGATAGTCAGTGTCAATACTTTATTCTGATATCTGCGGCACATAGTTTCTATGGATATCTAAAGAGCTGAGGAAGTTGAAACCACTTGGAAATCCGCAAGAGAGGAAATTATCGAGACGTCCAAACTTCGACGGTCCGTAGAATAAAATTATGCGACAGCTTTTGCAGCTTTTGTTTCGTTTCTTAACATAAATTATGAATAATCCTCCAAGTTCGTCCTTTCCAGAACTTATGTCGTCGTAAGACAAGAGTTGATTTTAATATAATAATGATAGCTATAATCAGCATATGATAATAATATAATTTTAGATATTTTACAATACAATAAAATCATACATAAAATAGATATTTATAACAAAATTAAGAGAAAAAGATACTTTGACTAATAATAACGATCGCATTATTGTGCGTAATATAAATTTTGAAGCCTTCTATGGATAGATATCACAAAATCAATTAATAAATTAATAAAAAGCGTTAATAAATTAATAATAAATTGTAATTAAAAAGTTATCCGATAATAAATTATTAAAAAATAATAGTTATAACAGTTAGGGAGTTTTTTTTAAGAATATTGTATATCATATATTTGTATTTTTGGATAAATGGGAGAAAAATTCTGCAAACAAATAAAACAAATCATTTCTATCAATTCCATTTTATTATGAGTTGCGGAGAGAGCGTGAAAAAGTTATACAGTATTGCCAGTTATAATCAAAACAAAATAAAAATAAATATTGATTAACAAACATTTACAAAAACTGTTTTTCTACATTTAATTTAATAAAATGTGTATTACAATAAATATCTGGGTAAAATGAAATTCTATTCGTTAATAAAATAATTATTTCAAAAGAAGAAAGAATAAATTTCTGCAGTTTCCAAATCACAATTCATATGATTCTACTTTGAGAAAATATGTTTTCATGATTATTTGTGTAAGAAATACGTAAGAACAATTAACGTTTCAAATAGTGGGCATACCTTTGGGTTGGCTCGCGCCGTAAATAACGGGCGACGTGGTAGCTGAATTCTAGTCCAGTCCAACTAGAACGTAATTAGAAATCCGCCAAGAGAATCATTGCCAAGTGCCGAGGTGATTGGGATTATCATGCGCTACAAATTTAAATAATCTTAATTTCTCCAATAATGAAACAACTAAACGTAACGTTATTTTGCGATATTTTTCATTCTTCAGTAATCACAAATAGCTACTTTATTTAACAATAATTAAACCTCGAAATTATCAATTTATTTAACGCGACTTTTAATATCTAATCAAAAAGCTTTTAATGACTTATGTTTATGACATCGAAGTAATCAGCTGATTAAATTTTATGATGGTAAGGTTTAGTCAAACATTTTAGAAACGTCCTCTATTGCTTTAATAGAGGCTAACATTACCGGGTTCACTTCCGCGTCGTAAAATCGGAAGCGAAACGACAATTCTTCGTCGATTAAATTCGCCGACGCGTCGATTACTAATTTTGACGTGCAAGCCAATATCGGCCCCAACCTCTGGGCTATCCGCCGTATAACTGTCGATATTTATGGAGAACAACTCTTTAATAAATACATGTATATATTGGCGTCGTGCCGGTGTCAATCGCCGTCCTGATACACCTGTGAAATCGATAATCGTTTCTCGTTTATCGGTGATGCGAGCTTTTTGATGATCTCCCGATAAACTTTTCCGTCGCAAGCAATCAAAGTTACAAATTGGATTCGTGCGACGAGCGACAGCGAAGTTATGCACGATGTGTTGTAAAAATAACGTGGAATACTTATTGAGGACCTAGAAAAATCCGCACGTTTATACCGCATGATCCATGATAATTATTCCGTTAATTATTATTATCGATAAATGTCAATTTAATGTTGTTTAAGCCTTTAAGTGGTATACTGGATTATGCGCAATGGCTTTGCTGTAACCTTAATCGTGTATTCAATTTCCTTTAAATTGAGTTCGATATGGTTATATCCATCTTAAGCATTGCGGTAAGATGGTATAACATATATATGGCGCGTACATCATTAAATGCATTAATAGGTTAAATTGAATATAGATATATAGCTATATATTAGATGTTGCGAGAGATTATACGATGCATTTTAGTCATTTAAGACTAATTCAATACATGCAGATCTAAATCCGTCGTTCAACGATTGGTATATATATATATATATATATATAATATATATATATATCTAAGTAAAAAATATAAAGCAAAATAAAACAAATGATAACAAATAGTAATGACAACGATGATTACAATACATACGGATGTGTAGCATCAAAGGGACATTCGCGATCGCTAATTGGCGCGTCGTGGATTAATTAACGCCTCGCAATCCCATTGTGCAACAGTTCGTTTTCTACTTTTGCGAAATAACGCGTAAAACTAACGAGATCGTTAGTGGCAACCGACTATTTTTGCGAGATTAATCGATGCCTGTGCCGATTAATTGAATTAATCCATTATTCTTCCTTTTTCTCATTTCTTCAGCTTTATTTTAAAAAATAACGACAATGTGAAAATGAATATACATCTGCGTTAAATTAATTAAATAAACTTAAATGCTTCTGAATAACGAAGATTGATATCGCATCTTAATTTGTTTGAGATTCTATTTTAGATATCTGTGTGAGATTAATTTTTATCTTCAATATTTTTCTTTTTAATTGGAAGATACTGTGAACGTTATTTCTGTCTTGAATAAATATTCTTTAGATATGTATTTATTATAAATTAAACATTTTTTTGCTAAAAATGATCTTTATAGTCATTTTACGTGGACTTTGTTGACACTTGGACGTGAAAATGTTGACACTTTTGTTTGTGTTTTTCATTTCATTACTATTTAAAATAGAAAGAGAACTAAATTTTGAATTCTCCTTTTTCTCTGATGTTTTCAGGCGATGAAGATGAGCAAAGTGGGCAACCAAACTAATTCGCAGGACCCACAGGCGGTGAATTCACGCGTTTTCGTCGGAAACCTGAATACATTTCAATGTAGCAAGACTGACGTGGAACGAATGTTCCAACGCTATGGTCGCCTGGCTGGTAAGTTTAATAGTAAAAATTATTTATGATAAAAATAAAATCACTGATTGTGAGATAAAGTCATTAAAGATTAACTACCAAAAACTTCCGCGTATAAATTTTTATAAAATATATGTTTCAAACTGAATACGCTGAAAAATAGAACAATTAAAAGCAGACTATATAAAAACATAGCTAACAAGTGAAATGTTAAAAAATACCGGTCAAAAATATCTGTTAAAAAATATGCTTAATAATAGATCGTGGAGAACGAAAAGCTTAAAAATATCTTGTTTAAAAACGAGTAATTTAAAAATCGGTAAAAAAAATTTCATGCTTTTAAAAGTAATATTATGAATATGTGAGTAAAAGAATTTTATTTAAATTATTAAAATCTAAATTTTTTTCTGCATTTAGGATCAAATGTGTCTCTTTATAAAGAGCAAATCCATATCTAGATCGGTACCTGATTTCATTTATCTTCCTTGCATCTTAATTCGTTTCAATTATACTCCGCGGAAATTTAGCAGCCTGGCGATTCCATCGGAATAATTTCTTCGCAATCCTTTCGCACACGAGCGCGAACGTTAATCCTGTGAGCTACGTACTTTATTTCCTGAATTTAAAAAAGACCACGATATTAATAAAAGTAAGATAGCGACGAAAGAAAGAAAATCGATTATTGTACGAAAAGAAAGAACCATTTGATTATTTCCGAATGTTCTCGATCCTTCCTGAGGCATTCTCGATAAATCGAATCGCGTGAGAAATCGACGGCCTGATAACATTCGATAATTCGCGATCGAATAACTTATTATCCGGCGCGGAAAAATTGCATCGAGAAGAATAGCGGAAGGGGCAGCGGGGCTCCGGGAAAATAGGATCTCGGTAACGCAATTTGTGCCACGGCGACTTGACCTTCGATAGCTCGAATTGGATATCCGTCGGTCTCTAGTTTCAGGAGGAGCGGCACGATGACTGCCGCTGCCTTCTTTTCCTTTGTAAGCCGTAACCTCGTTTACTTCGCAATCGCAGGATTTGTTATCCTGGAAAATCATTTTTCCGCGCAGGGGTCTTGCCCCTTCTTGGGAACAAAATTACGATTGCGATCTGGAGTGATAGATAGACGAACGATGATAAATCGAGAATGACCATGAGAGGTCGGCCATGATCGACGATCGAGATAATATCAAATCTCTCGCTCTTTTTATTGAATCTATATTGTAAACTATTTATTACACGGAAGGGATAGTTTTTGTCAAAAAAGGATTTTGTCGAAGTAAATCATTTTTCGACAAAAATCTAAAACTTTAGCTTACAGATCTAAAAATAATTTTGGATCATCAAAATAATGACGTAGAAATCTTAAGTAATATATAATACAAAAATATTATATGCATTTAAAATATTCTAGCAATAAATTTGAGCATCCTACGTAATTATTTTGATTGTTCAAACAATATTATTTTTAAATCTGTATCTAGACAAATTTTTAGATACTTTGACAAAACTTTTTTCCGTGTTTAATTTAGTACAAAAAATTTCTCAATTAACTTTAATATTAATAACAGACTTATAAAATCTAGTTAATTTTTTCAAAACATTCAACATTATAATTCAAATAAAGATTTTATTAAAGCAATGTTCATTTGAAGAATTAGTTAAAGAATACAATTTTTATTTGTGCTAATTCACTCTACTTACACTTTATACTTACATGTGTTCTCAATATACAAAAAGGGTGAATATATAGTGCAATAAATAATATATAATAAACCAACGGGATAAGATTTATATAATAAGAATGAAGAATGCTGTAAAATTAGTTTCGTGTCGACGCAAGTGATATTGGTGTTCGCCAAGTACATCGCCGGATATCCACTGGGAAGTTATCCCACCCCGGTCTGTCCAGCAAAATCGCAATTTCAAATGTCGGATGTCGAAATTACAAGGAACGCTGCTAGCTGCCGATAAACAGCTTACTTTCTCAATAAAGGACGAAGACAATAAGGGCAACTTCGTCCTTGCCAAGAATTAAGGCGCTCGCTGGATTAGAGGGACGCCGATACGAAGGATAAGCCGCGTCCTGTACGGAGGCGACGCCGCGTGCAATGCGCGATAGCAGATAAATTACAAATTCTACGAATCGAATATCTCTTTTACAAACAACGTTTAACGCGAAAATGTATACAGTCTCCGGCTTTCTGGAGAATTGCTTCTGTTTGAAATTCGATTTAAAAACGAAATCCTCGACAAAGATCGCTCTCATTTTAGTAATTTTTCCGTGTAAACTTTATGTCTTTCTTACACAACAAAACGAAGACAAATTATCAAATGTGCATAAAAGTCGTATATGGTTTTGCTGAAGTATCTAAAAATTTAGCTAGATACAGATTTGAAAATAATTTGGTTGGACCATAAATATAATTATGTAGGACATTTAAGCTAGCTGCTAAATTAAAGATTGAAATTTTTTGCAATATTGCTCATTATGTTTGAATTTCTTATATAATTATGTTGATTGTCTAATAAAGTCATTTTCAAATTTGTATCTAACAAAATTTTTGGATATTTTAGAAAAATTTCCATAAAGCAACTTTTCTTTCCGTAACAACAATTCTATCTTGTGCTCTTGCTTTTGTTTAAGAAATATTTGGATAATGAATAAATAATACAAATAACAAGAGAACCTATACGGTATAAGCTGGATCTTAGTACTTAAATATTTTAATGTGAATTTTATATACATATCCAATTTTGCAAATTGCGCGCTGAAATCATCGGTGATCTTGAAAAACGCATCATAGAACTATTTAGTAACATTACAAATTAAATTGACAAGCAATTTAATAATATTACTGCTAATAAACATCTTAAAACCTATAAATAATTTGTATTGTAAAGCAATAATAACTATCATATTGTAAATAAATAATAACTATCGTATAGTAAAAACTGTAAGTACTAATGGATCAGTAATGGATCAGTTTGAAAGGATGATTTTTTTGACAAACATTTAAAACATTGATAATTCTGTAAGTAATTAAGTTTAAATATTTTCGCCACAATAAAAGAGCTGGAGAAATTTCTTTAATTAACAATTAAAAATTGATAATTTTTTTTAATTAAGTAATTTTTTTAAATAAATTGTTTCTAATAAATTTTGTACATATATATTATTTAATGTCACACACACACACACGCACACGCACACGCACACACAAAATATACATTTAATAAGATATATATTTATATAATTTAATATCATAAAGGTTACAGTCCATTTGAGGCTACATATGTTTTTGAAATATTTTTTGGTCAAAAATATTGACTGGTCAATAAAATACTTAAAAGCGATAAATGGACTGCATTAAAAAAAATATATTTAATATAAAAAGGAAAAACTGTAAAAAGTGCAATCAATTTTTTTTGGTTATGAAAAATTCAATTTTTAGTTATTCAAAGAACTTAAACGAAGGGAATATTTTTTGAACATCCTATACACAGCTGTATTGGAAGAAATCGTCACTAGAATGATTTAAATCTGTACTGTCGAATGCCCAGATAACAACACTAGACAGTCTCTCTGCCGACAAGTTTCCAATATAAAGTTGATATTTGTTCTATATAAATGCCAAAACATTGGAAAAATTCACTGCAACAGGCCCTCAACATAGTACTGTTGTTATCGAGGCACTTGGTTGTCACTTTGGTGAATGACGACTTTTACAAAAAAACATAGTTACGGAAAATACAAATAATTGTTACAAAGAGCGGACTTGTCTATTTTTGTGTAGAGATATTTTTATTAAATCAAACTTTGATTTCCATTTGATTTTTCCATTTCAATATTTTATCTTTCTCACAATTAAATTTACTCGATCTTTTATTTGTAACTAAAGGCGATTAATTAAATTACATACAACTTTTTTATTAGTTAAAAGTTTACTAAAATGTTTAAATTGTAATAGTTATTAAGGGGATCCTAAAGTTGTCTGTATTACCGACTAAATATAATTTTTATTTATATAACAATTACTTTTCTCTTCTTTCATTGATTCAAAAATCTTTTTCCAGAATTAAAGTACGCATTAATACGTGTCCGTGAAGTAGAGTGCTATGCAGTAGAGTCTATGCTGAGAATGACAACAAATTTCGAAATTGACAATCTTCTTTATCATTTCCAATATGACACTCTATAGAGTTGTCATGTCGTAACAAACATTTCCTTCGTATAAAAGCTGTGCAATCTGTACTTACAAAATAGTAGTCCACAGACTAGTAGTTTGCATGAAAAAACAACATGGATTTCTTAAAATTGGACTTAAACGTCTAATTAAAACGTTATTGTTGTACAAAAATTTACGTGTATATATGCGTATAAATATTGATGTAATAGTATGTAGTGATGTATATCGTCTGTGAGTGCTATTTACAATATGACTAATTGTACAAATATTCAAAATAAATAAGGGCTATTAAGAGTCAAACGCTGGATGTTCTAATTGAGGAAACAGTATATATAATTACGTTAAATACATTAATTAAAAATTAAAAAATTAAACATTAAAAATTTGATAATAATCATACATTTCAATCTTTAATATGGTCATCTTAAGTGGGATATTATTAACATTGAATAACGTGTCTTATAACAATTTACATAGCTAGATGAAGTATGTATGAGCACATTAAAGGTGCATTAAAGGTTGCTATTAAATTTTTTATATTTAATTTCTTCCATTTCTTTTTTGATAATTTTATTTAAATTTTGAAATAATATACATAATATGAATCAGAGGAGATAGACATAAAAGTTCCAATCTGCTTTAATTTAATTTTTAATGCCATCTATATCCGATAGAATTAAAGATAAATCCTCCCAAGATATTACTGAAACTTTTGCTTGAAACTTTTTTTGGAGTTTGACACCGATCTTATAATGATTCTGTGTTTTTATTCTTATCAGATCCTGTAATAGTATTAAAATCTAATTACCAATTTTGAATCGATCTTGTTTGCTGAACGAAATCTTCCCAGCATCTCTGCAAAATCACGTGGCTGATTACATTACCATTAACGTCTACAAACGTCAAAAACAATCGATACTTCAAATAGTTTCATAACGATTTTCTGATGCGTGCTCTTGTCTGGATATGATTTCGATATCGAAATCAAGTAAATGTTTTTTGTTTATCAAACTATTTCTTTATATGTTGAAACAGTTCTGATTTGCATTAGATAATAAGAACTAGAATACGTCAGTCATCGTAATATATAAGAAATTAACATAAAACATTTACGCAAATATTGAAAGAATTCGAGCTCAATTGTCTTTACGCATACTAAACTGAGAATTAAAGAAGTAAAAACTCATACTTTATATTTGTGGTTTGTTTCTACAAAATCAGTTAAAAACTAATTCTACAAATGTAAAAATAAAATCCTTATTTGTAGAATTTATAGATTTATAGATTTTCTTATGCAAATTTATAGTTTAAATAATAGTGGCAATATTTATATAACGTTACATATTTGTAGTTTCCTAAATTAGTTTTTTTTATATTGTTTTCTTTTTCATTTTCTTTTATAATGTATGGTTTTAAATATAAAATAGAGGTGTATAAAATATCGCTGTCTGTAAAACAGACCATTTGCTAAATTAATAATTTTACATTATTGTCAAATAGTCCTATTGTAGCTGAAGGCAATCATGTATTTATTTATGAGAAAACACTCAAAGCAAGAAACTGTCGCGTTACATATTTGCATTTTACAGAATAGCCTAAAGTATGCATATAAATGAATGAAAAATGAAGAATATAGACGTAAAAAGATCCTAGAAAATCTTATTTACATCCACTTGTAGATATTTTGCAAATAATTTTTGTGAAAGAAAAAGAGTAGGAATATATCACCTTACTACCTACTGCGTCAATTTTGGGATCCATTTTGTCAGACGCTCATTTTTGTTTCTTTTACGAAAAAGTTAATTATTGTAAAATTGCAAAAATTATAAAAGCTGCTACATTATCTGACAGAAGGCAATTTAGTTTGTATTTATCTTTCTAAAATTTTATTAACAGCTTTTGTTTAAGAAATATTGTCTACGAACAAAGTGATATATCGGTATCGGCTGAGCTATTCTTCTCCACACAGATTCTACCACGTCTGAAAATAATATTTAGAAGTCCGTCGTATCAACCGGTCCGCACCTCGCACATATATACTCGCACTTACGATCGCGCATTTCGCTATCGCGGTTTTTATGACTAGAATAAATTTCGTCGCGGAACGATCTCTTGAGCGCCGATATCGAACTCCCGCACCCCTCTCGCGTGCACAAATGCACACATAACACCGCCGCCGTCCCCTTACGTATGACATGCGCGCAGACAGCGATTTAAATTCCGGAATGAACGTTATGGCGATGACGAGTTACGTTACGGGGATCGAAGATCGATACGATCGACACGACGATCTCCTTTCGACCGATATGCCGCCGTGAAAATGTGAGGGGTGGGATTAAGCTTTGAGATATGGGGATGATATAGTGCTTTATCGGAGAGTCGGGCTCCAAAGCGCTAAATGTTTCGGGAGATCGACGGGATCGCTATGTAATACATGATAAATTTACCCTCTTGCTTGGGAAACGCGAAATATTTGTATAGACAAATCAGGATGTCAATTGTGTAACTTGACAATTACAAATGTGCTTGCAAATTCACTAGATGTTGATCAATGAAATTGTAAACATTCTAATGAATTTGGCCTAAAAATTAAAACTCGGAAAGAAACAATTGAGTGAAGTTGCGATCTTAGCGGCGATTGTAATGTGAAAATATATGTTTCTGTAAAAACATTTATTAAATTATTTCAAATATTTTTTTTAGGACAACGCGCGTGTATACTGGATTTTTTCAAATTTTAAATAAAACTATCCTATAATTGATAACAAAGAATTTAAAAAATTATATTACATAATTATTATTATGTCCAATTGAATTTTTTACGAAAAATGAGAATTTTTAATGTCTTCAATTAATAATTTAATGATATTTCAAGTATATATATATATATATATATATATATATATATATATATATATAATAAATTAAAAAAACAAAATTAGAAATTTAAATATACATACATTTTTAAATACAATTATATTTTATTTAACTGATTATATTTTATTTAACTTTTTATAATGTTGCAAATATGCAGAAAATGCTCTTTTATATACTTTAGATTTTATATTTTGCAATTTCTCATACATAAATAAGAGATGTCGGTATGTTTAAAATGTATTAACGTATGTTAATTGATTAGCCAAGCTAAATTTACGCAAATAACATTTGAACAGCGTTTGAATGCTTTGGGTCATACTTAAAATAATAGGGAATTTAATTATTTTATGAATATCCAGGAAATCGAATATTGACAGCTACTGTTGAAATTAGAACCATTTCAATTAAATTAGATAAAATAATTATATTATTTGGAGACAATACGATTGAGTTTTAATTGCGTTAACGAGGCAGTCAGATATCTAAACTTTTATAATAAAGAAAATTTTATGATACAAATATGGCATATTTGACTACAGATACTTTTATTATTAAAATTTTTTTAAAAAAATTTGAAATGCTAATAAGTTTTCAATAAACAATCTGTGATCCAAATTTCGAAATAGTTGATAAATGTAATGTCTGATTTTGTTATACTTTTTCCCTATTATCGAAATACTGATAAAAAAGAGAAAAGTAAGAGAAACATGGAACATTGCTTAAATATAAGATGCTAATACAATTTATTTCTATTAGCGTTTTACATTGAATGTAATGTTATAAAGCAAGGTTCGATCTTTTTAAAATTCTTCTATTCAACAACTGATGTGTACTGAAGAATGAGCTGATAACAATAGCGACGATGAAAGCTATGAACATCTCTTGCGCTGAGCTTCGCGATGAAACGGCGCATGGAGTGAGAGGGAGAACAGATTCGCGCGGACAGTATTTGCATTCTAACGCGTATATGCGTGCGCACACATTTGTGTGAGTGCGTGTAGGTTAGATTTACATATTTGTTTCGGCATAATGAATTCCATGCATGGTCAGCTGCTAACCACGCAAAAGTTATTACGGGTACACAGATTACAGGTCGCGTCCGCGTGCGACTTGCCGCTCGGGCAAAATCGACCGGCAACAACGCGCTCTTGTTTTTATTAATTTGGTTTGCAAAAATGTTTAATATTCCCCGGAGTTGTATTTAATCGTTCGGAAATGTCGTTATTTAATTTGGAGATTTTTGCTCACGGTAGAAGTTTATCCAATTAAAATTTTGCTCTATGTATTTGCGCGGATAGTTCTCTGGAGAAAGGGAAAAAAGAGAGTTACTTGAGAAAGTTCGTAGCTATGCAATTACGCGCGATACGATCCACCAATATATTACATATTTTTCCAATGTTTGCGAATATTCCTAGAAATCACGCGGTTTTCTTTTTTGTTTAATTTTTTTTATAAATTTCAATCATTTATTTTTTGCAATTCTCTCATATGTCAAACATACATAGAATGGTTTATTTAAAAGGATTCACTCGATCGCTTCCATTACTAAAAGCTTATGCCGGATGTGTTTTTCATATAGAAATTTACTCCATTATAAAAAAAATCTATAAATCATATTTTGTAAAGATATTTTTTTAATTATTTTAATATTAGAAAATGAATGTTTAAATAAAGCTATGTGTTTTTATACGAACGTATTAATGACACTTTTTATGCTTTTCTGAGCTCGCTTATAACTTACAAATATTGGTTACTGTTACGAATCATTTGTTAAATTATTACTTATATATATATATATATATCTAATTAAATAATTATTCAAAGAATTATATATTATTTGTTTAAAAAAAGTTTTTAACGTACTGTGTTAAACGCGCTGATTCGCTTTATTGTCCTTTTCCAATCCATATGTGTTTATTTTATGTAAATTTTGAGAATTTATATTAAGTTCGTGTATTAAATTTTAAAATATTTCATAAATAAATAAAACAAGATTTACATCAAATAAAATAATAAAAATAACAAAGAACTTGCATGTTAAAAATAATATATTTAGCGTAAAATGATAGTAAAATTGATATTTTCCATGCGAATTTATTTATTTTATAAAGTATGCAAAATATAATTGACTTTTTACATCTTTTTGATAGGTATCTCTATGCACAAGGGTTATGCATTCGTGCAATTCACAAATCCGTTTGACGCACGTAGTGCGTGCCTCGGTGAAGATGGTCGCACCGTCCTCAGCCAGATTCTCGGTGAGTAAACTCTTTTATTCTTTTGCCATATTATTTAGAGAGTCGTTTAAAGAGACACAAAAGAAGGTTGGACGCGCCATATTTCTAGCAAATCAAGCCTCGCTGAAAAATGTTTTATGTAACCTCCAACGTTGTAAAAGATGTTACGCATTCTATAATTATACCATGTTCTATACTTGTATCGTGCATTTCGTAATATTTATACCGTACAAAGTAGAAGAGTATTTTAAGTATAATGACACTTTTATAAAAAGAAGAAGATTGCTTATTCATAGAAAATCTCTAAAGCAATAGGATTACGGCGATGAAAGCCTTTTTTATCATATCGACATATATCGACATATATTGTAAAACAATAAAGAAACACAACGCTGGAAAAAGTGCTTCGCATTAATATGCAACGGCGCATAACGTCGGTGATATAGGAGATCTCTTTGACATGATCATTTATTCAACACTTGGAAGAAAGTGTATCACTTTTAGCGTTTAGCGGTGCGAAATAGACATCGAGCATATTCTATAAGACATATTTATGACTTGCGTAAAAATATAAAGAGCATCGCAAGCCTGCGATAGATATTGAAAGTGCAATATGAAAAATATTATAGAAACGTAAATTTTTCGGATAATATTCTATCGGCTTTTTTAACGAAATTATATTCCCTCATTTGCGGGAGGGATAAAAATGTTACATTATTGTACTTACATGCACAATATATCGAAATAATTTTATAATATAATTAATCGAAATTTTGTTTACATAATTTTCCATTCGCAAATCCTTTTAATTCGATAAAGCGAATTCAAAATGCAGCAGCTGTCGAACGTTAAGTAAAATTATTAGGAAAATTATGGACTTCGGAGATCTACATTACGTATCAAAGGAGAGGTATCTCGTGGAATGATTTATAAACTTAGTGAAAAGTCACTCACGTGGACGTAAATTATGGGAATCGCGTGTATTTCTCTTGCGCCTGACAACCTAATCCGGCATAGCTGACGTGGGTAAATGCCGGTCCTTAAGATATTAAATTAGAAACACCGCATTCGCATTAGGACGCGTGGAAACTGCGGAAACCTTTCTGTAACCGGCCGTAAGGATATATCTCGCCGATCGTTTGGTTATGACACACGGCATAGAGCATCTTACAAAGGCTCCTGAATAAACCATACGCGTGAAATAAACAAACAGCGACGATGGGATTGAAATCCGGGACTTAACGCTGAATGCAGCAGCACACGTGCGGCTACCATAAAGCATTATAATCGGCTAAGTAAAGCAGATCGCATGTCTTTGTCGTAATAACACTATGTAAATATATAACAATATTAATTAATGTATATACTTAATAATAATTAAAACTTAATTCTTTACGAAATTAAGTTTTATTATTAAAAATTTATTCTACACCAAAAGAATATGGTTTTGCTGAAATATCTAAATTTTTTTGTTAGATATTTTGTTAGATATATTTCTGAAAATAATTTTATTGGATTATCAAAATAATTAGAACACTTAAGCTGGTTTCTAGAATATCAAAATTTTTTGCAACATTGTTTATAATGTTTGAGTTTTCTAATTATTTTAATGATCTGACAAATTCTAACGAAATAATCTAATATAATTGTTTTTAAATCTGTATACCTGTAAATTTTTTATTATTTCAGCAAATACGTTCTCTCCATGTAATTATTTAGTATTGTCCACGTTCGACATAAAAACGCGAATTTGATCTCTAAAGAAGAAATACGAATAGATCATTTAAATGATTTCTTTGCCATTATACGAATAGCATATGTATATCAAACAAATTATTCGAATAATTTATTCACTTTTTTTTAAATATATTCTCGACATTGCATCGTGTTATCGAAAGAGGATGTTAAGCTAGAGCTGTTTTTCAGCTAAAATGAAAAAATTCTAAGATATACGAGTTTTATATATTATATTAAAGGGCTATCATATTAAAACGAAATCAAGTGATGTATCACTTATCTTGAGGAAATATCGAGAACATGAGAGAAATCATGGTTTCTTTATTATTTTATCATAATATAAAAGTCAATAAATCTAATACTATTACATTTATTTATAAAAAGTTATTAGTAACACATCAAAACATTCTAGAAATTAAGCAACAAATATTACATTATTATTTACATGTATAAGCAGAATATTTGAATAGTTCGATAAATAATTGTTTGTTTTCGAATTCTAGTTTTGAATATAACGAATACATTTATCTATTTATATCTATTTATTTAATTTTTTATTAACATTGTCATTTCAGTTTTTTAATCAAAGACATCTTGACGTTTTACTTAATAACTTTTAGATTTTTGTTTTGATTTATATACAATATATTATATATTATAATGATTTCTTTCACGTCCCCCTGATGTTTCTCCAAGATAAATGATACACCACTTGACTATACTTAAGTAGCCCTAATATGATACATCATTTGTACATCTAAGAACTTTTTTATTTTAGCTTAAAAAAGCCCTAATTTAACATTCTCCTTCGTGATTGGATAAACAGATACATAAGACGTGAAAATATATGAAGCTTCTTTGGAATATAATTTATGCGGAAATTTTGGAAAATAATTTAGGAATCAAAGTGCAAGAGATATAACGTGTATTGGGCGCATATGCATAATTTTATTTTATGTGTATTTATATATCCTTTACATATCTTACTTTTTACTGCACCAATTTATTTCGCAATAGATAAGTATATCATAGATATATACGGATATTTTATACGGAGTTTATAACGTGAAAGGACTGTGATCCTTATGGAGCTTGTAGAGCTCTGAAATATTCGTACGTTTATTTGTCATCTATATGAAAAACGTTCATGAGATTTTCGAACATGCCCATGGGACATGTGAGATTGTTGAGGCGTATCCTATACGTCCCTCGTATAATCCATGTCCTTCATGTCGTACATGTGCCACGTATGCTACCTCTCGAGTATCGAATGCGCGTATCAGCATCGAATTTTTCAGAGTATTCTTCCTACCTCATCGTACAACCTTTTTCGGCCGTCTCTCACACTAGCTGCTTCTTTATGCGAGTGTTTCTCACAGACTCATGTCGGCAACACACCCCCCTTCAACCCGCTTTTCCAACCGAGTAGAGAATTACCTTCCGCAATCTGTTAATTACACGCATGTGATGTACAGAAATTAAATTAGACGAATATCTTACGCGAAATGAGAAACACGACTCATTTGAGATGCATAGGAATTTCCGTAGAACATTTTGAACATCAAATCTCGGAAATTAATAATCTTCTTTTAAAATTTTTCGAATTTCTACAGTTTGTAAATTACGTTCTAGATTCGAGCGCGGTCCGGCCCCTTTTTTTGCTTTTGCCCAAATATTTCTCTCCGTTTCCGCATTATAGAGCACGCAGGAACTGTCCACCCTCCTATTTCTAACCAGCTTTCCTCCCCTCCTCACCCCTGCGGCAAGTCGCACTTGTAAATGCACGCCATCGTCCGCGCGCTCGCGCCCGCCAGCGTGTGTACGTGCTTGTCCGCCCCGGAGGTAGGCGAAGCATCGGGCGAACCGCCGGAAACACAGTTCTTGCATTAGCCGAAGAAAGATTTCTGGGGTAATCGTGGCGGAGAAACTGCCATCCCGGGAGAGAGCGAGGGAGGAGGGAGGGAGGGAAGGAGGAAGGGTAGAGAGCGAAAGAGAAAGAGAAAGGGAGAGAGAAAACAAAGAAAGAAAGGACGCGCGTGCGCGCTTGTTCTTATTGGCGCGGGTTAGATCTACAGGGACAGGGGTGGCAGACGGGAGGATGGTTAGCGACGGCTAATTCCATTGGGTGTGCGAACGAACGGAGTAAAAGAGTTCCCACGCGATAAGCTTTAACCCTTTGACGCTGCTTGTATCTCCCAAAAAGCGAATCGATCTTTTCTACTGGGTGACAGGAAAAAGACGAAAAACGCCCAACGATACCCTCGAGTACTTAAAAAAAAAAAACATCCCCAAGAGAGATTGGACGTAAGGGAGTCTTTCGATTTCGGGTAATTTACTGCTTTGTCACTACACGTACTTTCTAAGACAACAAGTAACGGAATTAACGAAATAATATTATCTTATACTTCAATGAAAATGGACGAAAGTTCTGGTGGTCATATCAATGAGACTTCTGATTATCTTAGCAAGAACTAGAATTATAATAGATTCAACCCAAAAATTCTAATTTGTCCATTTCTAAAACTCCAGTTAATGCAACCAGACTCTTTTTCCAGTGTATTAAAAATTAAAAATTAAAAATACTTTTTATTAAAAATTAAAGAATCTCCAACGCAAATTTTATGTTGTATCAAATTTTTATTCTAACACGCATCTCTTCCTATATTTCATATTTTTCAGAACATGTATAGCTTAATTTTCGTGAATGTCGCGTATTTGTAAAATTGTGCAAAAATGTACTCAATTTTTTTTTCAATTCCGGAAGTTCTAGAAAACTCAGATGAATATTAATTGTGATATTCACTTCGCGAACGTCATCAACGTTTAACGTCGACTATCCGGAAGACGAGGGTCACATGACGAGAGTAATGCACGGCATATGCAAATACCGTGTGGACGATGATTTATTATACTAATCTCGTTACGAATTAATGTGCTGATTTATGATGGCACGGTCCTTTTTCACTCTTCGCAAGGTGTCCTGGCGACGCCGCATGAAAACGTGGCATAAGTCATCCCCGTCACACGGATTTTTTCAAAGCCAACCACCTCCCGCTGCGTCCCCAAAAATATCCGTAAATCTAACACATTCGTATATTAAAATTTCCAGAAATTCCTATATTTTTTCGTAATTTCTTGTTGTGACAACAGTCTTTAATTAAACAGTTAAAAATCAAATAGCGTGATGCATTATGATTACAACGTTTCATTTAATAAGTAAAAGAAAGTTTGTGGGATATTTTATCTTAAAATAAACTGAGTGGTGTCACAGAAATTATTAATTT